AAAGCAATCGCTATTGAAATATTGAAAGGCAATTTACGGCGAAAGTTCCTTCGAAAGTTCAACAAAGTTTGCACATCCCTTTAGCAAATACTGAGATAGTTTGTATACTATACCATAGGTATGGTAAAAAGTCAGGTACTTGACAAACAAGACCAGTTACGTGATAAAAAATGGAGACACAAGTCAGTTGACAAACTTTATAGATACCAATTACATTCATTGTTGTGATATAATCTCAGACCAGAGTAAACAACTCAGTTGTATATTAACATGGAAGTCAGATGATCTTTTGAGACTAAATTATCAGTCTTGCATTTGTTTGCATAAACAAATTAGAAACTATCAACTGCCATAAATGACCTCTAAACAAAAAAAAACCCATAAACAACATTTAAACAAACAAGCATTGTATAAAAAACTTCAATTGTGAATTTGATTTATCATCAATTAATTTGAACGGTAATATTAGGCAACCTTTACGGTTACAAAAAATTGCTAATCAATTTAGTTTGGTCACCTTGAAAAAAATGAAATTTGCTTCCTAGTTACAAATCAATTTTAACACTTTTTCAACTAAACCAAATTTCATAATTTTTATAAATTCATATTACTTCATACAGTTGATACAGTAATTTTTTCAGTAATAATCAATATATTTTTCCAATACACCACAGCATCCTGAGTATATCCCAAACAATGTAAATTGTTCTAATAAGCAACGGTAATGAGAATAATTGTGAAATTCTCATGCAAACAAAAGAACAACTAAACAAGAATATTGTAATTGCCTCACTTGAATGGAATGAAGTTTTACAAAGTTGTTCAATTTACTTAACAGCAGCACCAGATTTATAAGCAATTGCTAAGATAAACGTTAGAATTGCGCCAACGTATCCTCTGCGTGTCGTAAAAGACGACTAAAAGGGGTTGGTGTAAGGAAGGGCATCCTACCGTAAACTTTTAATTCCAACAAAATTCATGAACTTTGGAAAAGAAGAAATGGCCCCAGCCCCGGCAGCTCTTCAGTGGGCAGGGGGTGCGAAGAATCTCCAGATCGAATGTTGGGGAAGTGTCACCCTTCGGGTAGGCAACAGTGAACGTTGGGACAATGAAGGGAAGGAGTGCAGAAGTTGGCGCAGCGTTGAAGAGAAGGAAAGCGATGCGTGGGTTTCAGGAGGTGGTTTAAAGGTGAAGGTACGAGAGTCATAAAGGGTAGATAATGGAGCAAGATTTTATGGTTTTGGAAGGGAAACGGGGTGGCACGAATGGTGTTGGCTTTAAGCGATGAGAGGATTGGGCGAAGTCGGTTGTAGCAGTGAAGAGAGTTTCGGACAGAGTCCTGAGAGTTGATGTAGTTATTGAGGCCGAAGTTGTGAGTTTCGTTGTGGTGGTGTGCTCCGCAGGTTGGACGAAGCGCGGAGGAGAAGGAAAAGTTCACGACAGCGTGTATGCAGAGCAGACATTAGAGGGCGATGTGTGATGCTTGGTGATTGGAACGGTCATGTGGGAAGCCTAAGAAGAGGATACTGTGCGCGTGGAGGTTTTGGAGTTGGTGATATGAATGCTGAAGGCGAGGCGATACTGGAGTTAGCAGCGAGTTGTGGGATGGTGGAATACGTGGTTTATAAGGAAGAAAGCAAGCGTGACGTATGAATCTAGTGACAGTAGGACGGTGGTGGATTATATACTGGTGAATGAAGAAGAGAAAAACGGAAGGATGCAAAAGTGATTGCAGGAGAAGAATGTGACCAGCACAAGCTGCTGGTCATGGACTGGAGAATCAGAAGGTGAAGAGGAGAAAGGTTGAGGGTAAAGGCAAGCTATGGAAGTTACGATCGAATGAAGGGAAGCAGTGTTCCGTGACGAAATTGCAACATTGGAATGTTGAGGGTGAGACGGTGGAGAACGATGGACGTGGAGAAGGGTGTTTAACGGCAGCGGAGAAGGTATGTTAGAAGTAGTAAAGAATGGTGGAATGGAAGTGGTGGATGCGAAGAAGCATTTAAAGGTGGAGAAAGTGGACTGCAAAGGATCTGACCGGGAAACGGAAAGGAGGTGGCTAAAGCGAAATAGCTTTAAATGCAGGAGAATGGACGAAAAGCGTTGTTTAGAACGGCTAGAAGGAGCAAGAAGGAGGAACGATATTTGGTGCCCGGCGTGCAGAACCACGATGGGGAGTTGAAGGGTTATTGGAAGACAAGAAGTGTGGAGGGCGTACTGTGACCGTTTGATGAATGTAGAGAATGAGTGGAATGAGAAGTTGAAGCGGATGAAGTTTTGGGGCCGTGGGAAACAGTGACTGTTGATGAGGTGGCGGCGGCTTCGCAAGATGAAGAAAGGAAAGGCGACAGGACCGAGGAAGTGGGTAGCGAAATGTTGGACAATGAGCTATGTGAGAGAGTTGTGTAATGTAGCGAACGAGGTTTTGAGGGGCTCAAAGATGCCGAGTACATGGAGAAAGAGTCTAGTGGTCCCGCTGCACAAATGGAAAGGAGCAGGACGGTATGTGGGAATTACAGGACTATTGCTGATGGAGCATGCGTTGAAGATAGTAGAGAGAGTGTTTGAAAGAAGGTTGAGGAAGTTGTTCGGATGGGGAAGAGCAGTATGGATTCATATCGGGGAGAGGAACGACGGATGCGTGTTTTGTTTGAGGCAGCTGCAGGAGAAATTTTGAGAAGGACAGAGAATTGTATATGGTGTTTGTAGATTTGGAGAAGGCGTTTGATAGAGTTCGAGAAAGGTGATCGAGTACGCGCTGCGTAAGAAAGGTGTGACAGAGAATATGGTTCGGGCAGTTATGGAGACTTATGAAGGTGTAGAGGCGGTGGTTACGGAGGAAGGTGTTAGATCTGGTGTTTTTGAGGTAAAAGTTGGTGTTCATCAAGGTTCAGTCTTGTCGCCGTTACTGTTTGCTTGTGTGATGGATGTACTGACAGAGGAAGGGAGAAGAAAAGAAGGATGCTGGTGTTTGTTGTATGCAGATGACATGTCTTGGTGGCGAGTCGAAGCAGAAAGTCATGGAATGGTACCGAGAATGGAAAACGGCAATAGCAGTCAAGGGACTGAAAGTGAATGAGGCAAAGACGAAGGGCATGAGATGCTCGAGGCAGGTGGAGGTGAAGGACAGTGATAAATGGCCATGGTGTGTGTGGGAAAAGAGTTGGAGTGAATTCGATAATGTGTGGAAATGCAGTAAGTGGGTTCATGGAAGATGTTCAGGTGTCCGTGGTGCATTGACAAGAGTAACTGATTTTGAGTGCGGGACGTGTCGAAGTGCTGGGCGAGTCGCGATTGAACGGTTTGAACTGGGTGACGTGAGTTTGAAGGTGTATCGGGTTTAAATATTCTGGGGATGTGTTAAATGATGGTGGAGGATGCGAGCAAGCGGTGAGGAACAGAGTTCAAGCAGTGTGGTGGAGTTTTAGAGTTGTCAGGAATGTTGTGCGGAAAGTCGACGTTGAAGCAGAAGGGAGAATTGTACAAGGATGGGAAGTGTTTTGGGATATGGAGTGTTGAAGGAAAGCAGGGATTGAGAAGATGGATAGGAAAGGAGAGATAGGTTGATGGAGTGTATCGAGAATTGGGTAAGGCGCCAGCGTTTGAGGTGGTTTGGGCATGTGGAAAGGAGGGAAGAAAGTGCTGAAATTCGTAGAACGTTGCATATGAATGTTGATGGAGTCCGCAAATGAGGTAGACCAAGAAGGAGATGGATGGATGCTGTGAACAGTGATATGAAGGTGATGGGTATAACGAGAGATATGGCGAGAGATAGAGACGTTTGGCATAGAAAAGTTCATGGACCGGTCAACCCCCCTGGCGGGGATTATTACTGGCCGGAATACAAATGTTGTTTGTTTGTTTGTTTGTTGCTAAGATAAATGTTTCACATCTGATTCAAATCACCTCATTTATGCCTCATTGTTCACACATACAGGTTTATAAAATAACAACAATAAAATGCCTGCAATGATGGCTGAGTTTGCAATTTGCTTGTGCAAACCCATATGAGCTCAACCACTGGAGCTGAATGAATGAAATCAACTAAAGAGAATTTACAAATCAATCATAAATACATGCTATAAGAAAAATTAAAACATTTGTTTTAAATTTATCTGTTTTGCATGATTGGTATTTTATAGAAAAAAAAAACATGTTTTTTGTGTTTGCACTTGATTATACAACCAAGGAGAAATTTGTGAGAACTCTAAAGCGGATGGAGATCACTGATCTGTTCTCAATTTCTTCTATACGTCTCCTCAGTTTGCATAAGACTGTGCAATACTGGTAAACATCTATTATTTGTTGAATAACAAACACTCATGCATAGAGAGACTTGACTCTGCTAGTCGAGCTTGTCTTTTATACTGTATTTATCTGACTGACTTTGACTATCTTGCTGAGTGACCTCTTCTACTGAGAATTTCATTTGAAATTCAATTCCACGACAAGCCCCTTGTATTTGATGTTTTCTAATACATTTAACCCCATCATCTTTCTCAACTTGGATTATTATATCATGAATATACAAGCCTGTAAACTTTTCTAGACGTTCTATATCGATATGGCCATCATCATGCAGTTTGCCATGAATATCTTTTCCATCTAACAAAGTCTTTTTGTCGTGTGGTAAGTTTTCAGTCAACTTGTCAAGAGTCTGGAGTAAATGTACAGTTGAAAACGACTGCTTGTCCTCGTTTAGCTCGGCTTCCAATTCAGATATTTCTGAGCGTAATTTATCAATTTCTGCTCGATACCATGATTCGGTGCGGTTGAAGTTTGAACACAAGTAGTCATCCCATCGATCGCGTTTCAGTTTAGTTTTACACGCAAGTGAGTGGTAGAAAGACTTGAAGACACAAATTCGTCTTCCATTTTCCATGAGAACAACAAAATCAGTGAACATTATAGTGAGTTCGCGCCAAATGGCTGAAATAAGCATGTCCCGTTTTATCCATAAGTACTGCCTGTTGCCCAAAATGTTGCGCAAAGAAAATACAGTATCATCAATAAGCACGACAACGTCAAATGGTCAAAGATCAATTTCATCGTTCAAAATTTCGAATTGAATAGTTTATATCTTTGAATCATGCTAAACACGGGGTAAGTACGAGAAGATTGCTCTAATTTTCGGCATTTCTGTCAAAGCAGAATGTTGGAAGGTTGATTGTGAAGAACAATCATTTGCTTATTTTTGAATGTCATGTCAACTGGCCTTTTTTACCTGATGAATTTCTCTATGACAAGTATTTTAGACAGTTTATTGATTTTTATTTAAATGATCGCATTAAAAATCCTTCCCGTTTTTGGTCTGAACGAAAGGCAAAGAAACCTTTATTTATGCACTCTGATGATAAAATGTAATAGTTTTTAATCATACATGTATTATTTTCTCATTGGATTTTCTATTTTTTGATCATTAATTATTCAAGACGTATCTGAGGTTTGCATAATAAACCAGTGCAAACATGAAAAATATCTTTCATTTCTATTACTAAATAATGATAATGCATAAACAAATGTTTGAATTTGCCCTCTTACATATATGTATTGATGATTGATTTGCAAATTGTCTTTCATGAATTTAATTGATTTAGCTCATATTGGTTTGCACAGGCTAATACAAAGCAAACTTGACTTTAAACCAATCAATGGTAGCATTTCATTGTCTAGACTCTTTTCTCTTGTTGTCTAGAAAACTTGCTGGAAAACAATTTTTATTAGTGGAGCAAGTCGTGGTATTGGTAAACCTATAGCTTTAAAGGCAGCACAGGATGGAGCAAATATTGTCATTGCTGCTAAAACAGCTGAGCCGCATCCAAAGCTCCCAGGAACAATTTACACAGCTGCTGAAGAAGGTCAGTTTTTGATGTCTGTTTTGATGTACGTAGTCAACAATGTTTGATGTTTAATTCTTGCAAAAGATATTGGTTTCAATCGAAAAAGATTTTTTCTTGTAGATATGCATATTATAAAGAATTATGTAGCACTCTTAGAATAAGGAATTTCCAGGTATTTATAGGATAGTGAGGGAAAATTTTATTACCGTTTTGGCGACAGAGTGCTAAATATTTTTTCCTTGTAATAGTATTTGCCTAAAAGGATTCTTTCTCTTTTGATGAAGATATTGTTTACAATGACATAATCTAGTAATTTGCTATTTTAAAATCTTACTCTACAGTCTAACAACATTCTGGTTTACAAAAACAGCTGAAATTTTCAACTCAAGTTTCCTTTTCTGCAGTTTTGACTGCACACATTTTGGAAGTTCTTTACAGAAAATCTGTTTGCTAATGTCTCCATGTTCATTTAAAAGAAGATTTGTTAATATGTATTTCCATGTTCTATCAAAAGAAAATTTGTCTATATCTTCTTGTTCTCTTGAAAAAAAAATTGTCTCCTAGATTGTCCTCATCTTTTCAAACCATTGTAGTACAAATGTTAGGTAGATGATTTTTTATTCTTTTTCAGTTCCTTGAACCTTTTACCTCACTCTCTTAAATCTTAATAACGTATTTTGACCTACACCACCCAAATACGAATACTATAAAATAACTCGCTATGTTTTATTTTGATGTTTCATGTATGTTTTTACTACTTCCGTTTCCTGCAAACCAAATTTCAAAGATCTTTTTACCAATTTTCATAACCATTGGTTATATAGTCTAAAGATGAATAATGAGGTTAAGCGACTTGTGCGATCTATTGTTTGATGTAAATCGTTAAAATGTGCCTATTAGTTCAACATTTGTAGCTATTGCTCAAAGGGGAGTTAAAAAAGTAATTCTAACCAAAATTCTGAGAAAGTACAAACGGCTATATTAGTTAAGGAATTGGGTCTAAAATAAGGAATTGTATCTCTAAACATAATGGCGAGAGTCTCGTGTGTGTATCTTATGTATGTATTTAGTAATGTTTATTTTTTTCTCAGATACGACCTAATGCACGGTGTCAAAAACAGAGGAACATTTTTATGGTAAAAATCTTTGTTCTATTAAGTACCCAAATAGCCTAACCTATCCTACTTGGAATTGCTGACTACGTATGGTGTTTTTATTCATCTCATTTCTTTACGATGTTTAATTTATGTAGCTCTCAAGCGTGTATTCCATATCTGAAATTGGCCAAGAACCCTCATATTTTAAACGTCAGTCCGCCATTAAACATGAAACCTCTTTGGTTTAAAGGACACGTAGGTAGGCCATCGTATTTCATTTCAAGTAGCTCCACGTACTTAGCTGTTGAGTCCGAAGGCCCCTCTTACACGTGTGTGCCATACATATGTAGCTATAAGGTAGTCAACCAGTTCTGTTTTCCAGCTTTTTCAGTTTGTTCAAAACACTTTTATTCACTACATATATTCTGTATTTTTTGTGGACATTAATTCAATCAAAAGTATTAACCGTGCAGTTTTTAAAATTGGTAGTGCTCATATTTATGTACTTAGCTACGTGCCCTGCGAACTATACGAGAAAAGTCAGTCACTTTTGTCAGTGAATTAAACCCGATTTTTATGTTCTGGTATGTTGATAGCATACACGATCGCCAAATATGGTATGTCCATGTGTGTTCTTGGTATGGCTGAAGAATTTAAAGATGATGGTGTAGCAGTGAACGCTCTTTGGCCAAAAACAGGTCAGTTACGTGTTACAGTGTCATATAGCTAGGGGCTAATTTTAACATTGTGCTACAGGAGGTATGGCATGCATCCTATAGTAGCGATCTAAATATTTTTTTTCATTTTTCTGTCACTTGAACGACTTTATAATCTTTTTAAGGAATTATTTGGTTGAGTTCTTTTATGTATTACTGTATGTAAACATATACGTGTGCTTACTGTGCTTCCTCATTCGTGCATTTTAACATTAGTTTCCTCATCCATAGACAACTGCCCTAGAGGCTTACTTTGTGTTTCCTCTTCTTTATATAAACGCCCTCACTCACAGGACTTGACCTATCGAGACAGCAGCAATGGAGATGCTTGCTGGTGGAGATGCTCTACAACAATGTCGTAATACAGACATCATGAGTGATGCGGCTTATGTTGTACTAACTAGAGACAGTAAATCAAGGACTGGTGAATTTCTTATTGATGAGGATGTTTTACGTGAAATGCTGTATGCCATCATCACTGTTTACAAATCTCCACGGACCACCATATGAAGCATGTACACAATGCGTACCTATTTTGAATTGCTGTTATGCGATCATCACTGTTTACAAATCTCCACGGACCACCATATGAAGCATGTACAAAATGCGTACCTATTTTGAATTGCTGTATGCCACCATTACTGTTTACAAATCTCCACCGAGCACTATATGAATCATGTACACAATGTGCACCTATTTTGAATTGCTGTATCCCACCATCACTGTTTACAGATCTCCACGGACCACTATATGAAGCATGTACACAATGCGTACCTATTTTGAATTGCTGTATGCCACCATCACTGTTTTCAAATCTCCACCGAACACCATATAAAGCATCTACACAATGCGTACCTATTTTGAATTGCTGTATACCAACATCACTGCTTACAAATCTCCACGGATCACCATATGAAGCAAAAGTTGTTTGCTCAATTGGCGTTTAGTCAGTACGAAAACAGCCTGGAAAACTGTTGCCTCGTTTAAATGTTTTCTTGCAGCTGTTTTTTCATATCTTTTACGCCCGATCATCCCATTACCTTATTTTTAAGATTGAAATGATATTACTCAGAGTTATTTTAGATATTTAAATTTTCCCATTATAGGACCATTTTAAAATTTTAGAAGATAAAAGGATTACAGTATGAAAGACATGCATTACTTATATTGTCTTACAATTTAGCGTATGCAGTATGGAGCTATAAAATTTGACATTAAAACATGAAAATCCAGCATTCACCTTAAATTTTTGAAAACTTGATTGCCCTTCATTGACCTTTTATAAGAGAGCATACTTTTGATAGTGTAATTACATATAAGTGCACCTCTACATAATAAATAAATTAAACTCTGGACTCACTTTACTGTGAAACTTAGTATTGTATGTATATCTAATAACATTACTTATTGCTCTTATTGGTTAGATAACGCACTCGACTAGTACTGGCAGCCATCATGCCAATTGACAACTTACATCCAACATCAATCTACATTGATTACTGGGGATTAAGACCAAATAATACAAAACACGCATCCTACGAAGGGTTAAGAAGCCACATGCATTGTTCAAACTGCAGAAAGAAGAAAGTCACCTAAAGAACAGCATCCCAATAAATATTTTCAGTAGTTACTGACAGAAACATTTGCTTTAAAGGCTTTCATAATTACGAGTTCACCTTTGATGTTCATTGCATTAACAAAATTGTTAGGTAAAACGCCAGATCCCAACCTTTGGCATAAAGAACTAATGGAAAATCGCTCCCCAAATATTCAAAATGATAAATTAAACTGCGAGGGAGGGCTCTTCAGGCAATTTTTTCTGTCACCCATCTTATAAAATTAATTACCTTTCCCTGTCAGCTGGAGATAAGATTCAGGAGCAAATTGTCTAGTTACTTCTTTCCCTTTTTTATTTGTGAGTCGATATCTGGAACAGGTACTTACAAAACATTTACGAATATTGGTTTAAATAATTCCAGTATGTAAAATGCAAGTTTGGTGACCTTTCCTCTTAGAACTGAGCCTTGCAACACCGTGACTACTTTCACATTTTTCTACTTTTAATAAGACGACAGTAAGGTAACTCACAAGTCAATAGCCAATTAGCAGGAGACTTGTATCCGTCAATCGTACTCAACAGCTGTTGTTTAAAATTTAAAACTTGCTTTGCTCTGCATGGAAAAAGAGTAATTTAATGTCAGCTCAGTGAAGACGAACCAGCTGGTGTTTTTTTAAGAGAAACTGATTACATTTGAACAAATCTTGTGTCTGTAAGAGTCAATAAAACTTTAAATGTACATCGTTTAGCTATAAACAATGACTTACCCAAAATTAAGAAAATCTCCAACTCAAGACCAATTACTATGCACTACTACCAAAATATTTGAACATATGGAATATTGAAATCATCATTGACTCCGCAATGTTTCATGAGAATGACAAGGCGTTATCACTTAAAAGCTTATGCCCCCATAGTCATTTGCTTATTCTATAATGGCCAAAAGATAACAAAAATATGTAGCAAGATAGACATTTTTTAACAGATGATATTGATCTGCGCATGCGCAGCAGCTACTCTTAAAAACTGTGGCTTATTTCTCACACACTGACACATAAAATTACTGTCGCATCTTTTGTCAATGCTAACACCAAACTTTTAGTTTATTTTTCCAGTATACTAAGATGAAATTGACATTAAGTTTAAGTCAAATTCGATGATCATCGATTCTTTATTATAAAAGAAAAACAATAAATTTCGTGAACTGATTGAACTAGCTCGTTTTATATTAGCCTCAGTGTATCAAACAATCAGATCACTATCAATCTCAACATTCGATCTTTAGTTCTCCCAAAGGTATCCATGATTTCATAAGCCTGTGAAAACTGGGTTACATGTTTTATTTTTTTATGAAATATTTACAGAATGTGAAATTATACTAAACCATGCAATGTCCTTATCTTCTTGTTAACTCTTTATATTTATAATTAAGTACTAAAATAACATCAATTTATTAGCAGGATTGGGGTAGTTAGAATGGCGTAGCTACTACAAGGTCTATTAAAAAACTGAACAGTTTGGAAAACGTCACTAAAGACATCTGCTTGCAAGATCTGCAAAAACATTTGTTAGAAATAGTTGGACCAATGTTCTATCTGACAGTGAAATTATCGCTAACAATGACAATTTTCAGAATGAGAATTGTGTTGCCTTCTAAAATTTTTAAAATAGCTTGCGCACGAAAATGAGACATTTAAAAAGCAATTACAACACACAGATTCAAAATATGGCTCGTTGTTCAAAAGTGCTGAATATTTAAATTTCCTTTTTTGAATGCTGCTTCATACTTTTCATGAATTATGCATAATTTTGAGCCAAAGAAAATACAAATAATGAAATATGAATAATCAATAAAGATTTGCTAAGCGTTCTTTTATGTTTTTGACAAATTTTGCAAAACTTTTTTGGCTTGGACAATATGTGCCATATTTTAACCCTATGAGTTCGAATTGCTTCTTAACTAAGTTATTTTGTGCGCAATCTATTTCAAAAATGCTTCTCGGTAACACAATTCTCATTCTTAAAATTGTTACTATTTACAAACATTTTACTGCCAGATGATTCATTGGAAGTCTAACAATCTATTCCATTAATGGATTTTGCAAATCCTACAAGCTGACAACATAAACAACGTTGTCTTATCCGTTAAATTTTTTCATACACCGTTTAGTCCACTGCTATAGACGTACTACCTATGATACTATGTTAATTTTTATTTGTTCACGTACCATGAAAAGAATAAATTTCTAACAAAATGAATAATAATAATGTCCTTAAATTCACATTTCGAGATTAAAGTTTGCTGGCAGGCTACGCTACTGACTAAGTATTTATCGCCAACTATATCCTCACCGTAAAGCAAATAAACAATTGCTTCTTGCAAAAGTTTATCAGTAAATATTAATTCCCTCACATGGAGAGGCGTAACTAGAACGTTAATTGGGGGAGGGGGTGTATATTCATATATTACGTCGGGCCATACTAATTTCTTTTGAAAGAAATTGGAATTCAAAAGAAATCAGTAGCGCACAACTGAATATATGAATATAAACCCTCCCCAATTAAAGTTCTAGTTTCGTCTCTGCTCACATGAACTTTGTACTCTTTATTAAATGAATAGACAACCATTGACATTTAACGATCTTTAATATACAGCATAAACAAAATATAGCATACACATTACAAGGAACAAAGTGACCATAACCTTCCCCAAAGTTAAAAAAATAAGAACGACGTTGCATGATTAATATGTTGATGCACATTGTAACATTACAGTACTCCAGTTGTTTGTGTGAGTGCAGTCTATTAAAAGAATAGAAAAGAGGAACTGAAGGAAGTTTCAATCAAACAAAAGACCGAGCCAATCAAAGACAAAGGAGACGGTTGACAAATCAAATTTAATGCATTAATATGGCTACACAATGCCCAACGCACAATTATAAATAAAGGTTGTTTCAATGGATAGTTCTTGTTTTAACTGGAAAAATCATTATGGAGCTGAAGGAAAGCAATTTCATTCATTTGCTTCTGAATAAATTTGAGGGAAGCCATCGATTGGATGAAATATGAAAACAAAGCATATGATTGGATGAAACTGACTAAAAATATCACAGACATCATTGCAAGAGTTTACTTGTAACTGCAATAGCTGACAGAGAGGAGAAGTTTCGTCCTATAAAATAACGTAAAATAATGTACATCGCTACTCTCCAGATTATTTTCCTTTTTCTAATAAAAGTCATCTACTGCAATTATAATGATGACAAAAATGGCATGTTGAAGTTAAAAGACAAAGCAAAAGAAAGGTTTGTGGCAATCACTTGTATTATCATTTGATATTTTAGATACGATATGTTGTTTTGAAACTTGGCATATTTTATGATTACTGATCATATTTAGGTTGCATTAAAGTAACCAATAAAAGAAGTACTAAAAATCTTAACCAGTTGAAAACAATTTTCCCTACTCATACTAGCTCACAAATACACGTACACTTGTACGCACTCATTAAATAGGGATTTGCATGATTTTTTTATTTTAAACTCTTTTTTTGACTTATTAGATTGCAATATCCACATATTAAAGTAATATAGTAACAGTCATGTCTTTGACAAGTGCTGTTTTGCATTTCCAAAAGTAAAAATTACAAAAAATATTTACAATGATAGGCTATAAAAACGTGGGCGGAAAATTTCATCCTGCTTATTCGAACAAACGGTTCTCGGGATTTGTAACAAAAAGAGCGTCATTTTGCATTGAAGTTTGATAAAGCTAATTCTTTAATCAATACATACGCAGTAGTATATTCGCAGTATTGAGTTTGTTTTGTCATTGCTCAATTGTTTGAGGAAGTTTGATTTCACAAGCCTTGGCAGCTGAAGATTAGAGAAACTTGAAATGATTCAGACAGATATAACTAAGAGATTATTTATCATCTTGCAAATTTACTTGGGCATTTTCTCAACATTCGGACTTTGCATGGATACACAAAATTATATCGTATGGCGCTTAATTAAAGATTTATGAGTTTTTTTATTTCAAATTTATACTCCTTTTTATATGTTAAACCGTCTCACGTTTCACTGAATTTAAACTAGCTGCGAATTATCACTTTATTGTTACGACTTTAACTGTTTGTTAAGTATTTTTAAGAGACAGAATGTCAAAGTAACAAGTTGTCGAGGACTTCCAGGACTTCCAGGCAGAGATGGTGAGTTACACAACTTTCTTTACTTTTGAAGTTGTGAAATATTTTAAGAAAATGTTTACTACCACAACGTAGCTCTATTACTACTGAATTTAATTTTTCTAAAATAACCTTACAATTTAGGACGTGATGGCTGAGATGCTTCATTGCGTGGTGAGTTTCTTTTTAACAAAGGTCATTTTCTTTTTATCTGTAGTTCATGTGTGGTTAAATGTATTTCCTGGAAACTACGTTAAATCTTTTATTAACTTTTATACCCCTCTTAGCTAAATAGGCTTTTTGATCGATTTTGACAAAATAGCTTAAAAACTCGTATGAGGTAAATTACTACCTTTTTGGCAGAGTGCCATTTACGAGTCCGGATCCTGATTTTATGGATTCTAATTACTTAGATGTTTAATTCAAACGGAACGTAAAAAATCTATTAGAGATTTTTATAGCAGACTCTTTTCTGAAATGGTCAGAACTTTATACATGCTTTTTCCTTTGTCGTGTTTTGTGTGATAGCAGATTTTGTTGAAGAAATGGATGAGTTATTCAAGCCTTTGTGCTTTTTTATTCGCGTAATATTTTTAATGAGTTATTAGTTTTATTATTCTCGCTTTAGTATAGACGCGTTAATATTATATTCGCTTTGGCGTCTATAATGTCATCGCTAAAGTGTGATAGATATTCTGACTGATTTGATATTATGTGACTATATGTATAGATTTAGATGACTTGTGACATCTTAGATTGCCTGTGCTCTTGGTTTTGGAAAAAGTTGCACCCTTTTTGAGATAATTTTTTAGAGGGGCCAAATAATAAACGCAACGCAAAGAAATTGATTACACCATGAATATATCGAAATAAACAAACATGAGGTTTCAAAACTTGCATTTCACAATACCTATGAACCACTATGAATGTATGACATAGCACAATAATCATATTTATACATAACCCAATAATCTCTTTACACTTGGATTTGCTCATCACAAAAAATGAATGATATAAGAAAAATCATAAATATTGTTATGAAATTATGAAAAGTTTGACGCTTTTAAAAGTTGATAAAATTGTTAAACAATCTCTAAGCGTTATAAATAAACGATTTCAAATGACATATTGTTGTTATGTTCAATAAGTGCATGTTTTGCTCAGGGATGTATTGCTAATATTGATTGTGAGGGGGGGGGAGAGGTGATCTTATTCATATATATGCATGATATGCTGAATTAATATCTTTTGAAATGTGTGGATTTATAACATGTATATATGAATAAGAGGCCCCTTAGTTAGCGATAGCAATACATCCCTAATTTTGCCGTTAGAAAAGTTCAGAAAATATATTAGAATGCCAGAAGCAAACGTTTTTTGAGCTAACAAAGACATGTAATATAATATAGCATCCATTATCCATATAGGCTTACATAGTTAAATAGCTAATGAGACATAGAAATTATATTGGTAGAAGCTTTTATAAGATTAAAGTGTTCCATACTTAAAATGTGATCATTTACAATGGTTAAACCTGTAATGAAACTTTTTGATATTAGATGTTTTTTATTCAGTTTTTAACTGCATCATGTTAGAGCGACCTGTTGATTTTAAAAAAATGAGTACACCTTCAACAAAGTGGTATTCATTCATATATCATAAACGTTCAAGTAAGAAGTCAATTTTTAAGTGTCCTTCTTGTAAGGGAACCCCACGATCTACAAATTGTGTTTGTCTGGACACCAATGGGTGGCCTATAAGCCCCCTAATTTCTAAAAGTCGTTTTTTTCACCGTGTCTAACGGACATTCAAAAACTAATCTTGTCTAGGCTTCATATAGTCAAAGGTGCTAATAGCAAAGTTAAATATTATAAGGTCCTCGTGGTAAGCAAGGAAAACCTGGTCCAGCAGGTTCACCAGGACCTAAAAGTAAACCAACGTCAACCGGTGGAGTGGTCTATACCAGATGGGGAAGAAAACATTGTCCTAAAACAACGAAAACTGTTGAGATTTATTCTGGTAACAAAATCTACGTAATTGCGATTAATGGTTTAGCTACAACCAGTAGAGGTTTAAACAAGTAAAATAAGCATGTATGAGCGATAAAACTTCTGTTTCCTATTTTGAGTATTTTTTAATGGTTTCAAATACAAAGAAATCGGCTTTCTATTTATTTTTTAAATGAAGTCTTTCCCTTATGCTTGCATCAACTCACGATCAAACAAAAGACTTCTTGACTTCAAATTGCATGTCATAAGTTCTTTATCACTTGTTTTTTTTGCGAGACCTGCTAATGTTTACAATTCATCCGACCAATCGTCAAACTTTTTTACAGCGGCTCCCCTCGTCCCTTACGCTTGTGTTAAATGCTTTGATGAATGTCGTTCTTTAATCTTGTTAACGATCTTGATTTTGTTTATTTTACTCGTGTGAATCAGGCATAAGAATTTCATTAAATATGCTCATTAGAATTTTTTATGTGCTCAGAACGTAAATCTGGACTGTCCTATTTCTTTTTAAATGTAAATGTTCGACGCAATATACGCGAATTGACATTTGTATCATAACCTACGTTCTTGTAAAAACCAAGTAGTCGTATTCATTAGTTGCAGTTCTAAAGCATCTTTTTATGAAAAACAGGAGCAATTGGGGATCGTCTTATTCACACGGTGGGAGTGGATCAAATTATCTCTGTTTACCATTGAATCCAATATACGAGAAATACGCTGCTGGTGCTCAGAGTAAAGGAATCATTTATGGTACAGAATACGAGATTACTTCTTCTGAGAAACATATCTTTCCAAATACAAACTTACACGACCGAGATGCTCCATGTGCTGTATGCTATGCTAAGTCACGTGGTAGTCACATAATGATTCCAGCGCGCAATATCTGCCCTTCAGGGTGGACTATGGAATACAAAGGTTATTTAATGGCTGCACATTATACTCACAAGCGATCTGAGTACATTTGTGTTGATGGCAAGCCAGAAGCAATATTTGGATCTCATGAAGATAAAAATGGAGCATTATTGTATTTTGTTGAAGGCCATTATGGTTCTTTACCATGTCCACCATATACTCATGGAAAGGAACTTACCTGCGTAGTCTGTACTCAGTGATTTATTACGTTTTAATGCACATATGTACGTATTTTTCCATTATCTGTAGCAACACTACTAAAACATAATTTTTAATTTATTTAATAGTAACACATCTGTGACGTAACCATTATTTTCCTTTAAATATCCTGAGATGCACTTAAGTTCAATGATGAAAATACAAGAAGAAATATTGATCACCAAGAATTTATGACTTGTTATCTTTTTATGTAGTAAACGTAAGTTCTGAATGTTTTGCACAGATGATCTCTGTCTGTCTATAGTTCTGTCAATATCTCATGGTACTCATGGTAAAAGCAGAGTGCACAATTGTCTGATATTTTCTGTAACATCGTTTTACCAATGTCACTTGCGATTAGTTATGAAAAAGTCTAATTTGTAGTGTTTGGTTAGTCTGTTCCAAAGATATCTCGCTAGACCTATTTTCTGATTTTAGGGAAAATATTTTATTCAGGAATTAATTAACGTAATTTACTGAGGATAAAATGCAAAATTTCCAAACAAGACGAGAAATAAAAGAGAAAGGGCTGAGGTTGCCAGCGTGTTTTTGTATAGTTTGAAGGCTTGTATTGCCCAGTTGTTCTGTTGTTTGCTTTCAGCCGTTTTGAATTGTCAACAGATAGAAATTCAAATTGTGTGCAGTTTGCTAAACTTGACAAATTGCCATTTTCTTCACTTTTAGAAACTTACATAGAAATGGTAACAAAAACATTTTCACGTAAGCAATGGTTAGGTCACTTCTAGTTGCAGTTATGTATGTCAAATTTTTTTGCAGTACACAGCATAATTTATGCACAAATTATTGTATAAGATATCTTCTCTAAAATTTCCTGGAATTGGTATAACAATCACAGCAAGTTTTCCTTTTAATTTAAACAGACTGCAGACGTATCTTTTTTTGAGTGATTGTCTGCAACAGTGGCGGATCCAGAGTACGTCAAAATAAATTACGGCAGCACATTTTGGCGTATATTTACATTTCTAAAAACCTTAGAGGCTAATCCATTGGTAAAATTATATTCTTTAGAAATTAAAAACCAATTGTTTTTTTCTGAATGTAAATTGAATTTAAAACTGAGGAGCTATAATATGTTTTGATGTACATCAATCCACATTGATTACTGGGGAATAAGACCAAATAATACAAAAAACGCATCTCACGAAGGGTTAAGAAGCCACATGCATTGTTCAAACTACAGAAAGAAGGAAGTCACTTAAAGAACAGCATCCCAATAAATATTTTCAGCAGTTACTGACAGAAACATTTGCTTTAAAAGCTTTCATAAATACGAGTCAACCTTTTGACATTCATTGCATCAACAAAATTGGTGAGGTGGGACGCCAGATCCCAACCTTTGAACTAATGGAAAATCGCTCCCCAAATATTCAAAAGCTTAAATTAAACTGGGAGGGAGGGCTCTTCAGGTAATCCTTTCTGTCACCTGTCTTAAAAAATTAACAATTATCTTTTCCCGTCAGCTGGAGACAAGATCCAAGAGCAAATTGTCAAGTTACCTCTTCCCCTTTTTCATTTGTGGGTCGATATCTGAAACAAGTACTTACAAAATATTTACGAATATTGGTTTAAATAATTTCACTACGTAAAATGCATGTTTGGTAACCTTTCCCCATGTCTGAGCCTTGCAACACCATGACTACTTCATATTCTTTCTACTTTTTAATAAGACGACAATAAGCTAACTCACAAGTCAATAGCCAAGTAGCAAGGAGACTTGTAGCCATCAATCGTACTCAACAGCTGTTGTTTGAAATTTAGAACTTGCTTTGCTCCGCATGGAAAAAGAATACTTTAATATCAGCTCAGCGAAGACGAACCAGCTTGTGTTTTTTTAAGAGATATTAATTACATTTGAACAAATCTTGTGTTTGTAAGAGTCAACAAAACTTTGATTGTACATCGTTTGGCTATGATCAATGACTTACCCAAAATTGAGAGGAATCTTCAACTTAAGACCATGCAGTATGCACTACTACCAAAATCATTGGACATATGGAATATTGAAATCATCATTGACTCCACGATCTTTCATGAGGTTGACAAGGCGTTATTACTTAAAAGCTTATGACTCCATGGTAATTTGCTTATTCTATAATGGCCAAAAGATAACCAAAATATGTAACAAGATAGACATTTTTTCAGACGATATTTATCTGCGCATGCGCAGCAGCTACTCTTAAAAACTATTTACTCTTAAAAACTGTGGCTTATTTCTAGGTACACTCACACACATAAAATTCTGTCGCATCTTTTTGTCTATGCTAACACCAAATTTTTGTTTTATTTTTTCCAGTATACTAAGATAAAATTGACATTGGGTTTAAGTCAAATTCAATGATCACCGATTCTTTATTATAAAAGAAAAACAATAAATCGCGTGCACTGATTGATTTAGCTTGTTTATATTAGCCTCTGTGTGCAAAACAATCTGATCACTATCAATTAAATCAATCTCAAATTTCGATCTCTAGTTCTCTCAAAGGTATTCATGATTTTAATAAGCCTGTGAAAACACGGTTACATGTTTTGTTTTTTTATGAAATATTTATAGAATGTGCATTTTTACGTAAACCATGCAATGTTCTCTTCTTCTTGTTAACTCTTCATATTTATAATTGAGTACTAAAAGGACAATAATTTATTAGCAGGGATTTTGGTAGTTATAAGGGTGGAGCTACTACAAGGTCTATCAAAAAAACTGAACAGTTTGGAAAACGTCACTAAAGTCATCTGCTTGCAAGATCTGCAAAAACATTTGTTAGAAACAGTTGGACCAATGGTCTATCTGACAGTGAAATTATCGCCAACAATAACAATTTTCAAAATGAGAATTGTGTTACCTTATAAAATTTTTAAAATAGCTTGCGCACGAAAATGAGACATTTAAAAAGTAATTAGAACACACAGAGTCAAAATATGGCACGTTGTTCAAAAGTGCTGAATACATAAATTTTTTTTTGAATGCTGTTTCATAGTCCTCATGAATTATGCATAAATTTGAGCAATGCAATAATTATAGATTATCCAAATAATGAAATATAAATAATTAATAAATGTTTGCATAGCGTTCTTTTATGTTTTTGACAAATTTTGCCAAACTTTTTGGCTTGAACAATATGTGCCATATTTTAACCATATGAGTTCAAATTGCTTTTTAACTAAGTCATTTTTGTACGCAATCTATTTCAAAAATGCTTCTCGGTAACACAATTCTCATTCTTAAAATTATTACTATTTACAAACATTTTACTGTCAGATGATTCATTGGAGGTCTAACAATCTATTCCATCAATGGATTTTGCAAATCCTACCAGCTGACAACATAAGCAATGTTTTCTTATCCGTTAAATTTTTTTCATACACCTTTTTGTCCACTGATATAGTCGTACAACATATGATACTATGTTAATTTTTCTTCCTTCACGTACTATGAAAAGAATAAATTTCTAACAAAATGAATAATAATAATGTCCTCAAATTCACATTTCGACACTAAAATTTGCTGGCAGGCTACGTTACTGACTGAGTATTTATCACCAAATATATTCTCACCGTAATGCAAATAACCAATTGCTTTTTGCAAATGATTATGAGTAAACATAAATTCACTCGTATGAACTTTGTACTCTTCATTAAATGAATAGACAACCATCGACATCCAACGATCTTTAATATACAGCTTAACCAAAATATAGCATATACATTACAAAGAACTAAGTGACCAATACCTTCATCGAAAGTTAATAAAATAATAACAACGACGTTGCATCATTAATATGTTGATGCACATTGTAACATTACAGTACACCAGCTGCTTAGTGTCAATTCAATCTTTTAAAAGAATAGAAAAGAAGAACTGAAGGAAGTTTCAATCAAACAAAAGACCGAGCCAATCGAAGACAAAGGAGACGCTTGACAAATCAAACTTAATGCATTAATATGGCTACACAATGCCCAACGCAGAATTATAAACAAAGAGTGTTTCAATGGATAGTTCTTGTTTTAACTAGAAAAATCATTGTGGAGCTGAAGCAAAGCAATTGTACTCATTTGTCTCTGAATAAATTTGATAGAAGCCAACGATTGGATGAAATATGAAAACAAAGCATATGATTGGATGAAACTGACTAAAAATATCACAGACTACATTGCAAGAGTTTACTTGTAACTGCAATAGCTGACAGAGAGGATAAGTTTCGTCTTATAAAAAAACGTAAAATAATGTACATCGCTACTCTCCAGATTATCTTACTTTTTCTAATAAAAGTCATCTACTGCAATTATAATGATGACAAAAATGCTATGTTGAAGTTAAAAGACAAAGCAAAAGAAAGGTTTGTGGTAATCACTTGTATTATCATTTGATATTTTAGATACGATATGTTGTGTTGAAACGTGGCATATTTTATGATTACTGATCATATTTAGGTTGCATTGAAGTAACCTATAAAAGAACTACTAAAAATCTTAAACAGTTGATAACATTTTCCCCTACTCATTCTATCTCACACATACACGTACACTAGTACGCACTCATTAAATAGGGATTTGTATGATTTTTTTGGTTTAAACTCTTTTTGTACCCCCAATTATTGAGTTTGTTTTGTCATTGCTCAATTGTTCGAGGGAGTTTGATTTCCCAAGCCTTGGTAGCTGAAGATTAGAGAGACTTGAAATGATTCAGACAGATTTAACTAAGAGAGTATTTATCATCTACCAAATTTACTTGGTTATTTTCTCATTATTCGGACTTTGCATGGATAAAAAATACACAAAGTTACTTCGTATGGTGTTTAATTAAAGATTTATGAGTTTTTTTATTTCAAATTTGTACTCCTTTCCATATTTTAAATCGTATCGCGTTTCACTGAATTTAAGCTACCCCGAGTTATTTCTTCATAGTTACGACTTTAAGTGTTTGTTAAGTATTTTTAAGAGACAGAATTTCCAGGACTTCCAGGCAGAGATGGTGAGTTATATAACATTCTTTACTTTTGAAGTTGTGAAATATTTTAAGAGAATGTTTACTACCACAACGTAGCTCTATTACTACTGAATCTAATTTTTCTAAAATAACCTTACAATTTAGGGCGTGATGGCAGAGATGCTTTATTGCGTGGTGAGTTTTTTTTAACAGAGGTCATTTTCTTTTTATCTGTAGTTCATGTGTGGTTAAATGTATTTCCTGGAAACTACGTTAAATCTTTTATCAACTTTTATACCCCTCTTAGCTAAATAAACTATTTGATCGATTTTGACAAAATAGCTTAAAAACTCGTAAGAGGTAAATCTATTAGAGATTTTTATAGCAGACACTTTTCTGAAATGGTCAGAACTTTATGCATGCATTTTCTATTTGTCGTGTTTTTTTGTGATAGCAGATTGTGTTGAAGAAATGGATGAGTTATTCAGGCCTTTCTGCTTTTTTATTCCTGGAATATTTTTAATGAGTTATTAGTTTCATTATTCTCGCTTTAGTATAGACGCGTTAATATTATATTCGCCAAAGCATAATGTCATCGCTAAAGTGTGATAGATATTCTGACTGATTTGATATTATGTGACTATATGTTTATATTTAGATGACTTGTGACATCTTAGATTGCCTGTGCTCTTGGTTTTGGAAAAAGTTGCAAATTTTTTAGAGGGTCAATAATAAACGCAATGCAAAGAAATTGATTACACCAACAATACATCGAAATAAACAAACATGAGGTTTCAAAACTTGTATTTCACAATACCTATTAACCACTATGAATGTATGACATAGCACAATAATCATATTTATACATAACACAATAATCTCTTTACACTTGCATTTGCTCATCACAAAATAATGAATGATATAAGAAAATCATAAATATTGTTATGAAATTATGAAAAATTTGACGCTTTCAAAAGTTGAAAACATTCTTAAACAGTCTCTAAGCGTTATAAATAAACGATTTCAAATGACATATTGTTGTTAAGTTCAATAAGTGCATGTTTTGCTCAGGGATGTATTGCTATCGCTAATTGTGGAGGGCGGCTCTTATTTATATATACATGATATGCTGAGTTAATATCTTTTGAAATGTATTGTTATCTACGGATTTATAACATGCATATATGAATAAAAGCCCCCTTAATTAGCGATTATTATAGCTAATTGGATATAGAATTTATATTGGAAGCTTTTAAAAGATTGAAGAGTTCACTACTCAAAATGTGAGCATTTACAATGGTTGATAATATTAAAGTTAAATATTATAAGGTCCTCGTGGTAAGCAGGGAAAACCTGGTCGAGCAGGTCCACCAGGACCTAAAAGTAAAGCCACGTCAACTGGTGGAGTGGTCTACACCAGATGGGGACGAAAACATTGTCCTAACACAGCGAAAACTGTTAAAATTTATTCTGGTAAAAATTTGTTAGTCAAAAAATCCACGCAATCGTTGTTCATCATTTAGCAGTTGCGGTTCAAAAGAGTATAATAAGCAAAAGACGCCTGTTTCTTTTTTTCGTGAGGTTTACAAGGACAAAGAAATCGGCTTTCATATTTAAAACCTTCAATTGTCCCCAATTTTTGATAGAGCTTTTCTTCATACTTGCACTTTTTTTGATGTTTATGTCATATATATGCCATAGACGTATACGGGAGATATCATTTCCGTGGTGGTAAATATTTCTCTCAACTCACAATCAAGTTTTAGATATCTTGAAATTAAATAGTATGTAATAATTCCTTTCTCCCGTAATCTTTTGCTCTACTAATGCTACAATTTCCTCAACTTTTCAATATTAAAACTTCCTTGTGGAGGGAGGAGGAGAGGTAGCTTTAATTTTGTTTTCGCTTGTGCTTATGTTTATTTTTCCTATGTAAACCATGCATGAGAGTTTCATGACATATGCTAGGCAGAGTCCTTATGCATTCAGAGAGTGTAATAGCTTCAACTATAAATGTTTGACGCAATTTAAAAGAATATGTGGATAAGATACACGTGTATCATAAAGGACTTTAGTACATATATAGAGACCTTGTAAAAACCATTTAGTTATATCAAGTAGTCATAGTTCTATAGTTTATGGTATAATTCTTATGAAAAACAGGAGCAATGGAAGGATCATATTATCAAGACAGTGGTAGTGGATCAAATTATCTTTGTTTACCATTGAATCAAACATACGAAAAATATGCTGCTGGTATTCACAAAACAGGGTTTATTCACGGTGTTGAATATCGGATTATTTCTGCTGAGAAACATATATTTCCAAATCCAAACTTAAACGACAGAGAAGCTCCGTGCGCTGTGTGTCATGCTAAGTCACGTGGTAGTCACATGATGATTCCTGCGCGCAATGTTTGCCCTTCAGGATGGACCTTGGAGTACAATGGTTATTTGATGAGTGAATATGCTTATCATAAGCGATCCGAGTTAATTTGCGTTGATAGCAAGCCTGAGGCGATATTTGGATCTCATGCATACAAAAAAATATGGGGCATTTCTGTATTTTGTTCAAAGTTATTGTAGTTTTTCTTTACCTTGTCCACCATATCTCCATGGAAAGGAACTGACATGTGTAGTCTGTACTCAGTAACTCAGTGTATCGTAGTAATTTTGGTGGAAAGACGTATCTAAATTTGGTAGTCTTACCTGGAAAAAACTATAAAAAAGACAGTTTTTGATTTATCTTGTAAAAATTACGTTCCCATTATTTTTGTTCTAACGTTTTATGTACTTAAGTTTGGGAGAATTATTTCTTATTTTTAGTTTTTTTTAATTTTTATGAATACACCAGAAAAAAATGTTTGTTCTCGCTAATGAGGATTTGCAATGACTTTTTATGAGTTTTTTATGTTACTACACAGTAAATTTTTTGAAACGCCCCGTTTATGTCGAATCGAAAACGCATCGTTTTAATTGCATCCACACCAGCGTTTTCATAGCATTTTCGGCTACCCACACTTAAACACACGAAAACGATGAATATGTGATATATTTAACTGCGCATGCTTATACATAAAGCAGCAACGGTTGCTTGTTGCGGCCACTGATATATATATATATATATAAAGACTGGATAACGCAACCTAATTCTGGTGCCTAGAAAATTTTGAAAGCGGCGGCCATATTGGACTATCAACTTTTAGTATATATTTTATAATAAATTTTTGTCGTATTTTGTATTTTTGTTATTTTCTCTTTCAGAAATCATGCCAAATGTTTTATTATGATAAGATTTTTTTATGAGAAGATTTCTATATGAAATTTAGCAAACATGAGTTTTTGCTCAAAACCGTTCTATTGCAGCCTTGCCATCATAATAATTTTTTTTTGTCCCAAGACTAAAACATATGATCCAAAATAAATGCAAGAGTAGCAGTTTGTTATATAAAACCTATATAAAAAGTGAAAAAGTGGATAGCCCAATATGGCGGCCATTCGGCTTCAAGTGAAGCACTAAGTTGTGTTATCCAGATTCATTCATATCAGTGGTTGTGACATCAAGCGCCATTTTACGCCATTTCAAGACATCATTCACGTCATTATTTTTAAAAGGCTCCATTTTTGATCGTCCACTTCAAAACAAAACGCACAGCTTCCATCTTCAAACAATAACTCATATGTTTTCTTTCCATCAAAAGATCTATCAAACGCTGTCATTTTGGCAATGGCTTTTTCCATAGTTATCTTGCTTTTTTTGCAATATTACCTCTTCATTGCAAGCATTTGAGTAAACCATCTTTGAACCTTTCTAGTACAATAAATGTTTTTACTTCTTCATTTCGGTTCAATTTATAACTTTCTTAGCTGATCGAAAATGTGCACAGTTCTTTTTGCTTGACTTCTTCTTCAAAACTGTACAAATGTGAGTACCTTACTGCAGGTGGTTTCCGGTGGTTATAACACATTCTTCCTTTCATTTTGGTCGAACATAAGACTATGGGAATTTGATCAATTGTTGTACAAGTTAATATAGAGGTTGGTGTAGCTAACTCATAGCTTGATAGATTACGTCTTGAGTTTTTCGTATGTTGCTGTCAGTTTCTGAAATTCAGCCGTGAGATTTTTATGTTCAAATGTTGCCGTGAAATTTTAAAATGTTGCCGTATTTTTAAATGTAGCTGTGAAATTTTTGAATGTTGCCGTGGGTTTTTTAATGTTTCCTTAAGCTTTTCATATGCTGTAATAAATTCATAAAAATTGCTATACATCGTAGCCTTTCTTACATCGTGGACATTTCTTTAGTAGCCTTGTTCAAAATAATGCTATTATCGTCGATGAATGGAAAGACATTGTTATCTTTATAGGATATTTATGTCTCAATATAGGATATTTATGTCTCAATATAGGATCTTGCAGCTTCCAAGGCTTGTATCATTCCACTGATCATCATCTGTATTTTATATGCTGTGGTTTCGCTGGACACCAGAACCGTAGAAAATGTTGTTCGATACACGGCGATTTATTATTTAGGCATGATACTTATCACAATTGGAATTATAGTGGCGTCGAAAATTGTGTAGGGCTTGGACACTTAATTATTCTAACGATAGTTAACTAAGCTCCATGCAAACTTTTATGTTTTGCATGAAGCTCAAAACTACTGCAATAATTATCAAACAAAATATGAAATTGAATGAGGACAGAATTTGCTTTTAGTTCTTCTTTTAAGTGAGTTTTGCGATGTTTGCGCAATAAATTAATGATCTCATATAATAAAAAGAATTTTAGTTAATTTCATTCTCTGTTGAGAATCAGCACTATGATGTACTCTCCAAAATGCCCGCTGTGACGTCACATGCAAACACTGTATAGGCTGTCCTCAAAAAATAGGAACCGCATTGGTCACTCAGAAACTTCAACATGTCTTCTTAAAAAATGGTTGGCATTCCCATTTATGATATTTGTTTCAGAGAAAAACTAGGGTGGAAGGGAATTGCTAAGGAAAAGCAGGTATATTTAAAACATAAAATAATTTGTATAAAGCAATTTTTATCTTTATTTTCATAACACCGTTCAGGGTGCTCCCTGTCAAGCTGATAGCTTGGGTGCACATGGTTCTGCTCATAGCAGGTACGCCACTGACATCATTGTATTCATAAGATAGCAACATAGTTACACGAAGGGCGGTAAATTATAGAGAAGATGGTTTCGCCGATGGTTTCGCTTGCGTGATCTTGTGATTTCTGTAAAGTTTCATAGACATGCATGAGTACAATCATAACATTTGAATTCATTCAATATTAATTTAAACAAACATCGTACAATTTGACGATACAGTTTGAAACAGTTTGATTTTTACTGACGAAAACTATAAAAAGTGAAAGCCAACCCGTACCAAATAGCCAAGACGAGGAACAAAGCAAGCTTCGTTTCATGTCCAATAATGCCATAAAATAAACCTTTTAATAACCTCGCTTTTTTTGTCTTTACTGAGAAATATCGGCCTTTTGTGTTTTTGTACAAACCTCGTCCTACGGGCTCGGTCTGTACAAAAACACCTCGGTCCGATATGTACCCGTAAAGACCTCGAATTCGGTTATTAAGGGCTTATTATCATGTTTAATAATGACTATTTTTATTTCTCATTCTATTAGTAATATTCTTTTTTTATTTGACTTGCTTTTGAGAGTTGATTAATTAGTAGAGTTAATAATTATTTCCGAAATTCTGAAATTCGTTTGTCAGCAAATATCTTTGCAACTATTCAAAAATGATATATTCAACGAGACGTGATATTAACACTAATATATACAAATATACTAATTTCAGTATGGTACCATCAAGTCACCAGGCAAATCCTGCAATGATATTCTTCAGAAAATACCAGGAGGCTGTTGTCTACCAGGACCTAAAGGTAATACCACGTCAACCGTTGGAGTGGTCTACACCAGATGGGGAAGAAAACATTGTCCTAACACAGCGAAGATCAGCGCAGTTATTCCTTCACGACTTAAAATATTTTAGCACTCTCAAACTATTTTCAAACATTTGTTTTTGATCATTTATCAATATACACTAACTAAAATATTTTCGGGAAAATGGAGATGCTCTTTAGTAAAATTAATGTTTTTATGCTTCTTGAAAATTAAAAAGAAATTAAATCATTTCTATTTGATACAAGTTTGCAATAATTTCTTAAACATTTTTGTTAATAGCAACTGGTAAAGACACTTTTGTTTACTGTGTTATTTTAAAAATAGGAGCAATCGTAGAAGCGCACTATACACACGGTGGGAGTGGATCAAATTATCTTTGTTTACCGTTGAATCCAATAAACGAGAAATACGCTGCTGGTACTCAGAGTAAAGCAATCATTTACGGAACTGAATACGAGATTACTTAAGCAGAGAAGCATATTTTTCCAAATCCAAACTTATACGACCGAGATGTTCCGTGTGCTATATGTCATTTTAAGTCAGGTGGTAGTCACATGATGATTCCATCGCGCATCATCTGTCCTTCAGAATGGACTATGGAATACAAAGGTTATTTAATGGCTGCACATTATAGTCACAAGCGATATGAGTACATTTGTGTTGAAGGCAAACCAGAGGCAATGCATGGATCTCATGAAGATAAAAATGGAGCATTATTATATTTTGTTGAAGGCCATTGTGGTTCATTACCTTGTCCACCATATTTCCATGGAAAAGAACTGACCTGTGTAGTATGTACTCAGTGACCAAAAATTGTTTTGGAAACATGCAAACTTTGCAAGGTTTAAGACGCTTTTCAGTATTTCTTCCGGAAAGGATATGTTTTATTTTTTTATAAGCATTAGTTACAACCACACCTTTTCATTAGTTTATATTAGATACGAAGAACTACATTGGTTTGATATTAATTTCTTTTCTGGATAAAATAAACATGGAACAACTTAGCAATGGTTCCCCTTGAGTATGTTTCTCAATAATAATTGAAAATGTATATTTACCAGGGGGGGAATTATCCAGTAGGCTGAGTAGGCTAAATATAGGTTGAGTAGGCTTAGTAAAGTCTGAGCAGGCTTAGTATAGGCTGATTATGCTTAGTATAAGCTGAGTAGGCTTAGTATAAGCTGAGTAGGCTTAGTATAAGCTGAGTAGGCTTAGTATAAGCTGAGTAGGCTTAGTATAAGCTGAGTAGGCTTAGTATAGTATGAGTAGGCTTATTATAGGCTAAGTAGGCTTAGTATAAGCTGAGTAGGCTTATAATGTGTGTGAATAAATTTGTTTGTAGCTGATGATTGGTTGAATCATAGAAATGAATCATATGATGGGACAAACTGACAACAAAAAGAAAAAAAATCAATCACGAAGTATCACTTGCAACTGTATGCCTAAGCAGAGTTAGTGAATTTTCATTGTTTAAGAATACCCAAAATGATAAAAAATAAACTTGTTGTTCTTGTAACTTTTGTTCTGATTTCAATTACATTTGTCAACTGCACATTAAAAGATGACAAAAAAATTGATATGCCAAACTTTCAAAACCAAATTGAAGAAAGGTTAGTGAGACTTTGATCTTGTTAATGTTGACTTACGTTTTGATAACCTTAGTGGTAGTCGTTCGTTTGTTTGAGGTTAGGAATTAAGCACAATACGAATACGTATGAACAAAGGTGGCGCCAGGAATTCCCCCGACGGAGGTGCTAAGGTCTCCGACGGGTGGGGCTGACTTACTTGGCCGATGTGACTATGCGCTTCCATGCAAATGTATTTTTCGGACAAAATTTTTAAAAATAATTATGAATCCTCGCTTTTACCATATCTTTGAAACATATAGTTTGTTTTGGAAATAATAATTTACATCTACATGAAAAATTAACACAACGTATTCGAGTTGTGAGAGCCGCAACGAGAACGCTAATTTGGGGAATGGGTTGTTTTTTGGGTGGTTTTTTGATATATTTAGTTGTGCCTAATTGATTTTTTTGGAAAGAAATTTAATTTTTAAAGAAGTCAGTCTGACAAAACTGAATATATGAATACCTCCACCTATCATCGCTGTACTAACAGACCTGCTAGTCATGCATGCAATCCTGGGATAGGCATATGATAGGCTATAACAAAGCTATACAGTAAGTAGAAAGAAAGACTTGGGTATATTCTAGTAATGTTGGATAGTAATAATCAAATAATAATTATCTCTGTCAAACCTTTATAAATATATACTAAGCTTTAATCAAAGTAAGAAGAGGATCCATTAGTTATTAGATATACTATTATTTTTTTCTTGTTTAACTTAAATATTAAGTTTGGGCACTTTATCTCAATGTTACCCTGCATGTTAAACTATTTTGCTGGTTGGCAGTTTTTTTTTTGACTGCATGTATATAATGAATCAGTGGTGTACAAGAAAATAATTTATAGGCATAAGAGGCAATATTAATAATGTACGAGTAAGATATAACTTCGGTGAATCATTCGATTTGATTGTTTCATGTTCAGAGAACAATTCTACTCTTAGGAAAGCTGGCATTCAACTTGTTCATTACGGTAGCAAAATCCAGTTTGCTCCCTCACCACAATGAATTCCTTACATCATAGGCTGTCCAGACGCTTGATGGTGATTTATCAATGACAATATCTGCAATAAATGTAAACTGTCAGAATCTGATGCTATTGCTCGTTTGAAACTCAAACAGCAAAGTTTTTTCACAAAAAATTTCCTTTCAAAGTTCGAAAGTCGAGTTGCAAAAAATAACAGACAGACAACTAATAGCGGGAAAGCGTTGTGGAGATTGCATATGCAAATATTTCTCATGTAGCATTTTCATTTCTGTTTTCTAATGAACATTCAAAAATAAGTATTTCAGAGTAACTTTATTATTTTTTAAATTTGATGTCGGATAGCTGACATGTATGAAGATTATTGCCAATACCGAGTGCTCACATTATTTTAAACGAACGGAAATAATCGACATTGGAAATTACATTTTTTCGTTATTCATTCCTCGACAAATCGTGAAATAGCTGTACTCCCCCCTTTGGTGCCACCCCTGCGTATGAACAAGACAACTGCTAACACGGCTAGCCTGACGTTTACTCCTTACTTTTTCTCTAAAGATGACTACTATTGTAAATTGTCATGTCAAGTTATGTAGCCTGTGATTGTGTCATATTATACATCATAGGATTATAACTGATATTATTAAATTGATGGAAAATACATAGATAGTTAAAAACTGTGGTTTCAGTGGAAATCGTGCACGTAAAATAAAAGTACTATAGTCATGTCAAGGGAATACTTTCTCTCCGCAATGCGTCGTTGCGGTAGGATGTGGGTAAAAACGAAACTCTACAAACGGAATGGCGAAGTTGCAAGTCATGTAAACGCCTAAAACCACTTCCTAATAATTATTTATAAATATAGCTTGCAAGCTTTGGTTCGGGGTTTCGGAAAAGTTTACTTTATTGGTGTATGAATTGGTCATAAAAAATTGATAAATTAGCAGTCGTATTGCAGAAGGCAATAGAGTTTGAAAACTCAGGTTTAGGATTGAAAGTTGTCCGTAATCTTAACGATATCATTTTAAATATTCCGTATCGCGAAGAACCAACGTAAAAATGTGCAAAACCACTGTAAATATCCCATCAAAGTGTTAAATAGAATTGTAAAAATACAGTCCTGTCGTTCGAATAAAGTTTTGAGAACAGTGAACCAGCACTTCGTAAAGATTGTGCGAAAACTACCGCTAAGGTTATCGAAACTTTAGTAAACATCAACACCAACAGTCCTACTCAGGACTTTATTATTATAGATGACCTTCATTTACAAACATTTAACGATACTCTGTGGTTCAAACTATTCATTATAATAAAAATACGCAAAGTCTTAATAAAGACAATAATAACAAGTTAAGTTTTAAGAAAGACCATTGGAGACATAATTTTTCTTACTGAAGATAGATCTTTTCATCTTGTGATGGAGATAAGCTTTATTTTCTTTTCTTGACCTTGTTCTAAGGAGAAGAATAATCAGTTATAAGTATGCACATTAAAATGAAGTCCTCAATAGGCTTGCAGTCTGTTTCAGAGCCTCATTGCATCAATTAAAAAAATTTAGTTCTTCATTTTAGCACAAGTATTTCTAAGAGAAAGAATCGCAAAGCAACAGCTTGTCAAGGACCTCCTGGACTTCCGGGCAGGGATGGTGAGTTATAATTTACTTAACAAGTCGTGATCGAGACTGTTTAGTTTTTAAATATATAACTACCACAATGACGTAAACGAAGTAGCTTTATTAATGAGTAATTGACTATAATTTCTTGAAAACAAGTTAAATTGATATTTTTATTTAGGGCGTGATGGCCGCGATGCTACATTACGGGGTAAGTTATTTTATTAACTATTAGAAACTTTTCTCTTGCCATATGGACTAAACCTAGTTACGTATATCTGCATGAGTTTCCTTTGATTCAGTTGTTTTTTACCAAGAACTTTACTGGTCGATGAAGTAACCGTACAGAACTTTCTGTAAATACAATACAAAAATATCAAAATTTGAGTCTAAGAAGGCATATTTAAAGGGCCATCAGGAGAACTGTGAGACAGTGTTTAATCAGTTAAAGGACATGTGTAGAGGGCATTATCGTTGATCTAAATTGCATCTGATATTTGATATAGAATACATATGTGTTATGACTAAGAACAACAGACTGTAACTGTAATATAGAATACAACATGATATGACTTTAAACAATAGACAGTAACAAACTAACTTCAAAGCATCGCAAATCTATAGCTTGTTTGCAGATTTCAGCATTATACTAAAGGTCTGTCCTTTCAAATTTAACTTTGAGACTTAAAAGTGTATTTGCCTGGGCACTATACATAATCTTATTTACACAATTTTTCAACAGAGTAACAATAAAATTTTAATTTTTATTGAAAAGGACTGTAATGTTGTGATTAACATTGTTCTTTGCAAAATAAGTAGTACATTCAATTTATTGATGAGTTATGTTAAGAGGACAAGCAAATAATTTTTTGAATTTTGATGTAATTGTCACTTTCCCATTCTGTAAAGAAATATTATGACAGTTTGTGCTGTTTATGATACAAGCTATGTATATGTCTTCATTCTGTATGCGCCCCTTATATTTGGGTCAAATATTTTAATGTGATGGATGTATCAATAATTATTACAAGATACCAATGTGATGGATGTATCAATAACTAATACGAGATACCAACGTGTTAACAAATTCATCAATATAGAAACAGCTTCAAATTAAAGTTGATGAGCATACCAGCAGTTTTTACAAACTAAAATACTGCCTAATGGAGGATGGAAATTTGTTGAAGAGCGAGTGCTCAACAACTGATGAATAGTTTCAGTTTCAGAATAACGGAACAGCTAACAGTTATCGGCCAAAAAATGAGCACTGAAAAGCAGATTTGATTAGAAAGAGTAGATGAACAAGTGCTGTCAACAGGGTTTATTCCTCAAAAAAATTCTGTTATTTTCTGGATCATTCATGCGATCACCATAAAGGAGAACATGTTAATTCAAGTGCACATAATGTCATCCACCTAAAAATATTTTTTGGTGAATATTAGATAATCGTATCAATAGAAAACCAGAGCAACTTTATTATGACCGATGATCCATTATAATATAAAGGAAATCTCAGAATATCACAACAGCTCACAACACTAAAGTAAGCAATGTGTTTGATTTCTCTTTGATAAAGACAACATTTTTTGCCAATTTTATATACACTTTTGCCGATTTATAATGTTCAACAAGACAATCGTTTTTAATGTATTGCAAAGCAAAGTACAACAACAATCAACTGCGTTACGGTTACTGGCATATTAAAGAATGTTCCATTGCTAGCTACATGTATTGTTTTATTTGTTTACCAATTTAGATAGAGTATTCACCAGCATATAAA